TTTACATGTACAACAAATACCCGTCTCTTTCCTCAAATATTACGTCAGGCAAACAATTCCCGGAGTGGCCCAGCCCAATGAAGACTTACGGCTTTTCAGAGTAACACTTCCTTATAGGAATATATTACTAACACAGAGTTCTTGAAGTTTAGACGTTTGTAATGATACAATTTCGCAAAGTTGACGGTAGAAGTAAATATACTTTATTATAACTTAAAGATCAGATAACAAGCTCACTTTTTGATTAATTTTCACTTATTCATTTTTATAGAAATATTTTTGGAAATAACCAATTAGTAGTAACAGAAAAACCCTTAAGACCAGATGACTTGTCGGTTGCTTTTGATTATCTTTTTTCCTATTACGTAGTACCCGCAAAATTATAATATGGGTAATTACTGATGGTAGGACCTCTTGTGAGTCCGCACGGGTAGGTACCATCACCCTGCCTATTTCTGCCATGAAGCAGTAATGCGTCTCGGTTTGAAGGGTGGGGCAGTTACAATGAGACCTTAGAACTCATATATCAAGGTGGGCGGCGGCATTTATTTTGTAGCTGTCTATGAGATCCCTGTTTCAATTGTTCTATGTAACGGCCGTCCTATAATTCAAACGGCAACGCATAGACTTTACAGCAGGAATAGCCATAGTGGTAGTACCCCTGCGGACTTACTATATGAACTAAATGTCACACTTACAAATTCTTCGTACAGGTGACTGGAATTACAGATGCTTGATATATATTTACACCGATTTTCAAGCATACAATTAACCACAACGCTCGCTCTCCGACAATATACTACAGGGTTCATTCTTTCTATTTTAATAAATAAAACAAAATAATGACTAGATTCTTGGTGAGATTAAAAACAAGTTTCTTTTAATAAATTTAAAATTTCCGATTCGATTTGTGTTTCACATATCGCAGATACACGATCAGTCGCTCGTGGCTGCGATAGTTGTAAAATACTCGAAACATCGAGAACTCAAATGATAATCACAAAAATGAGATAAAAACCCTCACATAATCGCCCACACTCAAAGCCAATCGGAATTGCAAAGGCGATTTCAGCACTTCAAGTCACCGTCAACTTGGACAAAATTTGACATTTCCAGTCTACAAAAGGAAGGTTATGTTTCAACATTTTTTTTTATATATTGCCCTCGTATTCAGACGAGCATACGGCCCACCTGATGGTGAGTTATTGCCATCGCCCATGGGCGTCAGCAATCAGGGACAAAGCTAAACCGTTACCTACCGTTAAAGTCTTAAATTATTTAACAAGCTTCTAATTTTAAACAATTAATGAATCAGGCGAACACTGGTATCATTTATTTTAACAGCGATATAACGAATTAAATTAATTAAGAGTTATTTCCATGTGATATCACATTATGTCAATCATAAACAAAGCTTTTATCAAGAAACAAACTAATCACTTATTCCTCTTGCTTAATTAGCTAACCATTCAGAGACACACAAAAATAGTTAATTTAATTACGTGTCAGATAAAACATTGCAATATTCACATCATGCTTCAGTAAAAGCGTTTCAGTACCAACCACGATAGCTTTTAAGCTGTTCTATAAGTAGATCCTGTTACGTCTCTTATCTTTTCCTTATTAGGTTTCCTGTTATCTCGTCCGGTTACACCGTCGACATTAAAGCTAGAAACAGGATTTTAGTTAATCTTAGTTTTCAGAGTACCTCCTTTTCATAGGATCGTAAATATGCATGTCCCTACAAAATAAACTAAAATGCACATATGTATAAGGAATTGGTTGGTGAGCTTGGCGGAAATTTGCTGGAAGTAAAAATTTTACAATATTTTCTTTTTCTTTTTTTTTATTGCTTAGATGGGTGGACGAACTTACAGCCCACCTGGTATTAAGTGGTTACTGGAGCCCATAGACATCCACAACGTAAATGCACCACCCACCTTGAAATATATGTTCTAAGATCTCAAGTATAGTTACAACAGCTGCACCACCCTTCAAACGGAAACGCATTACTGCTTCACGGCAGAAATAGGCAGGGTAGTGGTACCCACCCGCGCGGACTCACAAGAGGTCCTACCACCAGTATTCAAGAAATATAATAGAAATAGATATTTTAATTTTGAAAGTAAAACTTAAAAAATTCTTTCATCATGAAACATTTTTCGTACATTAAACATTTTACACTTGGTAAAAAGCTTCAGGAACTTGAAAACTTCTGAAGGTACGATGCCCTTTAAAAATTCCGATCACGATTTCACAAAGGAAGTTCATAACAAATTCCAGATAGGTAAATACTGGAGGTACCTACGTAGAATCCTGTGAAGATTTAATAAAACGTTTCTGAATGAAATGAAGCGTAAAATAGAGTTCCTTCCATAGATTAGTTCCTTTTGTCGCTGAGCCTCCGCTCCGCTGAGGAAATCACTAGGAAATTGTCCAGCGCGCGCCTACGACGACACAGGAACGTGTGATGCAACTATAATGGCTCTGGAAATGTTCTCGTAGAGTACAAACAAATTCTCTTAGAGTATAACGCAAGATGTAGAGTATAAACATACATTGGTGATGGAATGTCAAAAATTTTACTTTCATCTGACCAGGACATATAAGAACAATTGATTTCAGGTTGCATTAAATAGTGTAAAGAATGTTGGCGAGCCACAGGTTTTTTTGTTCATTCATGATTATTCAGTGAATGAATGAGCTCACGGTCGACCTGGTTTTAAATGGTTACGGGAGCTCATAGACATCGCATGGTAAATATCGCCATCCGCCATTAAACTAAAGGTCGCAGTCAAAAATTTTTAATACCATAACAGCTGTCCCAGCCTTCAAACAAGAAGGTATAAGTTCTTTGCAGCAAAATTTGGTTACGATGATGGTATATACCCTTACAAACAGGCAAATTTAAAAAAATCGCGGTTATTTTTTTTATCACACGATGTTATTCCTTTATAGTTGAAGTTGTTGATAAATCCGTGTTTACCATCTTGTTGGAAAACTTGGTACCGAAATGTGGTATTTGAGCATCAACATAGATGCCATGTATGTTATGAATAAGCCTGGCGTCTTTTCTAGGATGACTTCGAATTTGGTTCATTATAAATTATCTATCCGCAATCTTTTATATCGTCACTATATAAGTCGCGAAGATTTGCATTATTTACTATGCAAAAACCTACGTCAGATTGTCTATCTATCTATATAAGACATCCACGATGCGCTGACTTATAAGTAAAATAATTTAAAGTAAGAAGTTTGTGGCGCCCCTGTAAGACTTTACAAGCGCCAATGAATACCTGCTGCCTATCTTCAAGTATTTTCCATAAAAGTGTATACATAGCAGTATTAGGGCCTTCCAAAAAATGAACATTGTTGGCAATTGTAATCAAAACTCGATCATAATTCATTTAATCATAAATTTTGAACTATATTTAATTTTTATATTCTCCATCTCTCAAATGCACAGATTTTCTATGAAGTGAACCAAAAAGACCATGGAAACTTTGCATTTGGATAATTACTTAAGTAATGCGTAAAAATGGCTTCATATTTAACATAATAGAATAAATTGTATTCGATCGATCGTCGTTTTAAGATTGAATTGACACGGTCGTTGATTACACTTCGAACAGTAAATGATCATAACATTGTACTTCAAAGATTTTATTATCGTTTACCAGAACTATCCAGGATTCCTAAATACATCAATGATAATTACATTTGAGTCGCTTGGATTTTCTATGAAGTGAACCAAAAAGACCATGGAAACTTTGCATTTGGATAATTACTTAAGTAATGCGTATAAATAGCTTCATATTTAACATAATAGAATAAATTATATTCGATCGACCGTCGTTTTAAGATTGAATTGACATGGTCGTTGATTACACTACACTAATGATCATAACATTGTACTTAAAAGATTTTGTTATCATTTACCAGAACTGTCTAGAATTACTAAGCGCATCAATGATAATTGCATTTGAGTCGCTTGCCAGCGTGATATATACAAAGATTCAAAATAAACAACGCCGGATCTCAACCGAAAAACGTAGTACCCATCAAATTCTCATCATTCAACGTTAAAATATTTGAACGTCATAAAAACTGAATTCAAAGATTACAAGTCGAGCAAAGAGGCTTAATTCAGAACCGCGACACGATGCCACTCGATTATCGAGCTCCACTCGAGATGACGAAGTAATACGTGCAACGCATGAAGAATAAGCGTCGTCACATAATAAGACAGCTGAGAGAAACTCACATTAACCAGATAACACAATTCGAGCCACTTTAAGCGCCAAACATTTGGGTTTTGGATATTTATTTGAATTAACACAACAGTTATTAGTTTTAGTATACATATGTGCTTGAAATTTCAATTAGAAGTTCGAGATAAATTGGAAGTTTTTTTGGGAGAGCTATGTTCAAAATTTAATTTAACATTAATATCGGGATAGATTTTGGACATTCATCACAATGAAAAAAAGGGTTAATTCGCAACTAATAATTTCATTTTAATGAACTTTCCCTAGAAAGATGTTCCAGAACGATGTCATTTTTATACAGGTTATTTTAGTTATAAATTTAAATACAACGAAAACATATTCTTGTATTATTTACGAAAAAATAGGAACAGGAAACTGGTAAGTTTCTCGGCAAAATATGTAACTATTGCACGAACCGATTCAAATACCTTTGAATATCAAAGGTATTTCCTGTTGTTGTCCTTGTGCCTAAGATATTATAGTAACATTGATGTATGTATGTAATGTATACACATAGATAGCGACCTTTTCAACATAATGTCTCATTGCCTACTCCAACTCTTCCTTCGAATAGTTCTATACATCCCAAAATAAAGTAAACTTAAAGGAAATAAAATAAACAAATTATGAAAAAAACATTTATTTAACATTTCAAAACTTTTACCTAATTACCCCGTTCCTAGCGATACGCGACACTTACCCCAGTGTTAAAATGAAACTGACACATTGGTCAAACGTCAATACCACGAATTTGCTTACTGTGATTTTTTGTCTTCGCTCTCATCGTCACTGTAATTTTTTGGCGTTTCACCCAATTTGAGGAGGCGACCAACTATGTCGTATTTTTCTGGAAAAGTAGCATAAGATTTAGTGAATTTTTTTTTTGTTTTTAATTTATTACTTAAATGGAAGGACGAGCTCACGACCTATTAAGTGGTAACTGGAGCCCATAGACATCTACAAAATAAATGCGCCATCCACCTTGAGATATAAGATCTAAGGTCTCAGTAATTTACAACGGTGGCCCCACCCTTCAAACGCATTACTGCTTCACGGCATAGACAGGGCGGTGGTACCTACCCGTGCGGACTCACAAGAGGTCCTACCACCAGTAATTACGCAAATTATAAGTTTGCAGGTTTGATTTTATGATACGATATTTTTACTCCACCGTCGAAGTCAATCGTGAGCATTTGCTAAGTGCGTATTTCATTACCAAAATTGGTACCCGCGTTCGTGTATTGAACACCAATGTAGCGCAAGATACGAATGCACCGGACGTCTTATCCTTTAAATCTAAAAAGATTAAGACAAAATATTTCGTTGTTATCTATATACATCTACTTAGTGCATTAAACGGTTTACTTACCCCTAAACTGCTCTTCCCATTCTTTGGCTGAAGCTATTTCATCTGAACCCAGGTCGCTAACATCGTCGTATTCATCGTTTTCTGATGCAGCAACCTGCCCTGTGGCCAAGCCTCTTGTGGCGTCTTTACCAGCAAACGCCGAGTATGGGCCTCCTGCGATTTAAAACAACTACTCATTGATTGAATATAAATTACAGTAAGATAATGTTACAACATAATCTGTCCAGATATTTATTAAAGTATAAGAGATACAATAGGGTCATGCTAAATAAAAGAAATGTAAGATAAACACAAAGAACAATTATTTGATGTTATATTATTAGTAGTGTATAGTTGCGTTTCTATAAGCGTTAAGAATATCACGATTACCTAGCCCAAGCCGATAGCCGTGGTTGGAGCCAAACACGTTTTCAAGTGAATGATAGCCAAATTTTTTAAATTTTTTTTTATTGCTTAGATGAGTTGACGAGCTCACAGCCCACCTGGTGTTAAGTGGTTACTGGAGCCCATAGACATCTACAACGTAAACGCGCCACCCATATTGAGATATAAGTTCTAAAGGTCTCAATTATACCTATAGTTACAACGGCTGCCCCGCCCTTCAAACCGAAACGCATTACTGCTTCACGGCAGAAATAGGCAGGGTGGTGGTACCTACCCGTGCGGACTCACAAGAGGTCCTACCACCAGTAATGGGTAAAACATTGAGACAAGGTGTCATTGTTTCAACTGCCTTAGAATTTTTACTAGTGGTAGGGCTTCTTATGAGCCCACACCAATAGGTACGAGATATATCTTAATGCCATTGGCAATAGTCACAATATCAACGTCAACGGTATAAGTGACATTTGAAAAATGCCAGTCTGACACTGAATTAGATTAAAATTAAATAATGATTATGCTTTATATTTAAAAGTTTTAACTAGCTATCACAATGAGCGCAATAATTATATGTAGATCGACTTGAAATCTCTTTTGTAAAAAAGCGATTATTTTGTCATGATTAATTCCATTTTGATTATATCAAATTGAGTAATTCGTTTACTATTAAGAAAGCTTTGTATAGATAAGATAAAGATGACTAATAGCGATTCAAGAATAGTAATTTATTTCTTCGAATCTAGATTATTTTAATGTCTTTTTGTGTTTTAACAATAAATCACTAAAGTTACTACACTACGTTTATTTAGAGTCAACACACTTACAACCACTAAAATTATTGAAAAGCAATGTTTTAAACTAACAATTGGCATGATTTATTTATCAACCAACACTCACTGAATAGTATAATTTGTAGCTGATTCATCAACTCAACAATAAAATGTAGTGCACAATCTTGATTACTAAAATGTAATAGATTATGATTAAGCAAGATATTACATATTATGTCAAAGTGTGATGGCGTTTATAAATTTAAAACACGAACACGACACATTAGCAAACTTGCAATATAAAAATTGTCGTACAATTTAGTATTACAACAACAGGTTGGCAGTATATTACAACCACAAGCAATGCGTCTAGGCAATCCTTGATTCAGAGAATAAATTGTTGACATTAAATTTGCCAATACGTTCCACACAGTCACCTAATACATCTTATAACCCAATTCCCTTCTGTCAACTGCCTTTTTCAAGAGCCAGCAACCTTTCTAGAGCGATAAGACTTTTCATTGATATAAACTAGTGTTTTTCGGTATCTTAGCTGCTATCCATACAGCCGAGGATAGGAAAGTTTTTAGAGGAAGCCACGACCTTCAGTATTGAGGATTATCGACCGAAGGAGGAGGAAGAGTATTTTAGTGGAAAATATGAGGTGACTACTATGCTTCTATATTATTTTCACCAAGCCATTCTGAATTGTTTTCTTGAAGTCGTCGTGACCTAACGGATAAGACGTCCGGTGCATTCGTGTTGAAGCGATGCACCGGTGTTCGAATCCCGCAGGCAGGTACCAATTTTTCTAATGAAATACGTACTCAACAAATGTTCACGATTGACTTCCACGGTGAAGGAATAACATCGTGTAATAAAAATGAAACCCGCAAAATTATAATTTGCGTAATTACTGGTGGTAGGACCTCTTGTGAGTCCGCACGGGTAGGTACCACCGCCCCGCCTATTTCTGCCGTGAAGCAGTAATGCGTTTCGGTTTGAAGGGTGGGGCAGCCGTTGTGACTATACTGAGACCTTAGAACTATATCTCAAGGTGTGTGGCGCATTTACGTTGTAGATGTCTATGGGCTCCAGTAACCACTTAACATCAGGTGGGCTGTGAGGTCGTCCACACAGCTAAGCAATAAAAAAAAATAAAAAAAGGTGCGTTAAGTATCATGACTTAGGTTCCATATTTTGGCTAAATATTTGTTCATATTAGATCCCTGTGGCTTTTGACCTTTAGCCACGCATCATCTCCTACAGTCCACACGTCTTGTGTAAGATTTCGAAGGAGTGTCCTAATAAGCTCGCCAAAGAGGCCAGTACACTATTTACCAGACAGTACACTGTAGCATATTCTCAAATTGTCAAATTTGCAAAACTTTAAAATCCACGTGATGGGAAATCGTTGATGCATTGTTCAATTAATGCTAATAAATTTAATAAATAAATTGCAAAAATCTTGTAGCATTTTTTAAATACTTTAATCAGTACACTCTATATTGGGGTCCTAGACGGTCCATAGACTAAGACTCGTACATCTGAAACTAGATTAACACATACTACTTCTTTCTGAATTACAAATTCAATGCACATAATACCGAGAGATGGTCTTATATAGTTATAATTCCTAACACGTATTGTACATGTATTGAACAAGAATAGTTAAAAAAAAACTTTTCATCCGCTTTCGAACTGTAACAGATTTCGTAATATTGTTTCATGAAGATTACAGTAAAACTATTTCTTTTGGACACAATAAAATTATATTTCCTATACAGAGTCCGCATACTAATGGCAAGTCCGGACCGTTCGAGGTGAGTGACCTCGACGATGTAATCTACTGATAAATATGAAAGATAAGGGTTTTGGTTCGGCAGTAACTCGAAACACGAAAAATTTTCGCTCCGTTGTTAGTCAGTGCTTACGGTCGACTAACGCTCATAGTTCATATTTCATCAGATTGCCGATTCGGGTAATTTGAATAAATTAATTAAAACATATTTTCTGTAACTCGAAGAGGTACAATTTTTAGTTATTCGAGTGTGCTCATGTTTGGCAACATTGCAGAAATTTATTGAAATATTAGTGTATATCTGGGCTTATTTTTTTTTCTTTGCCGTTAAAAGCCTGTTGTCGGATATGGATATGTTCCAGCTATCGCCTATCACAAAATACTACGAACTTTGTTCGAAGACGTAGATTTCATAGAATAAATTTTGAAAAATGTTTGGTGAAATCGATCTATTTGGCATCGATCAAAAAACATTCCTCAGAGACTTATCAGATGATATTATATCTACAAAATGATAAGTTATTTCCGTGAAATAGGCCATCTGTAATTTATCGTCGTCCCTTTAACTTACTTCAAAAAAGGAGGAGGTTTTCAATTCGACTGTATGTTTTTCTTTATGTTTGTTACCTCATAGCTTTTGACTGGGTGAATCGATTTTGATAATTCTTTTTTTATTAGAAAGCTGACGCTTTCTGTGCAGTTCCATTACAATTTAGTGCAGTTCTGATAATGGTATCCATGAGAAAATCATATAAGTCTTACATTTGCATTAAGTACGTGTGCGACAAATAGCTCAATAACTCAATATCACGCCAACCGATTTCGACAATGATTGTTTTTAGTGTATATTAATTTGTTTTGGAATATCTTTTTTTTCTATTAGAAGACGGTTTTTGTTAAAGCATGTCTATTTAAAATTATTCTTGGCGTGGACGACGCCACGACGAGTTAGATGGTTGTTTAGGTGGCTAGATAACAATCGATAGCAGCGTATGGCGCTCTTGTAAAACACACAGACCTAAACACGGGGGACACAGCGCTGAACCATCTCATTCAAGATCGCGGTATAGTCGGTATGTTTTATGAGACCCGGAGCCAGAGGTACTTGTTACTGAAGTTCCAAAATGACCTTTGCAACTCCAAAAATACATAACTAACATGCCGTACTTGAATCGCGGTCCAGATGGCAGGCCGAGCTCTCAGCCCCCACACGTATCATTGATGCAACTCCCAGTATACTCTCAAAATGATTGACAACACAACATACAATGCATTAATGCACACGCCACCAGATTGTCTTGTTTAGGAGGTAGCTCACCGAATCCTTATTATACAAACAAAAACTGACCTCGTCGCTATGATTTTTTTTTTCTACCTATGCTGATAGCCTATTTCATCTTCGTCCTAACATGTAGGTGAGCTCACGGGGCTTAAACCGGAGTATTGGTAACACTGGCCCTAACAAGAGCAGTGCTTCGCAGAATCTACCACCGGATGGGAAACGAGACCCACTGACAAGATTCGGAGAAAAACTCAGTGGGCTGTGTCTATGGGTTAATTCGCTCGTCGAGCCCTTCGTCGCAAGCGACGGGTTCAACGAGGACGGTGACCGGGCGTTATGATGCTTAACTGTGCTAATATTAAAGAAGTTGAACTGCCACATGCTACTTTGTAAACCACAACAAGTGGGGTGATAGTCGGAATATTTAATCATACGATCCAAGAAAAAGGCTAGACGACTTAGCGCTGGCTATTTGGTTCTGCCTTTTGGGTGGAGGAATTACAAATAACTGGATATATTTGAATAATTTTGTCGATGACTGTACTGTGCCAACTTATAAAGACTATAGCAAAAAATCAATGATTCCAAAAAGTTAAATAAACATTACATAATATACATAAAATAATAATCTATATAAACATATTATCGGTTGAAAGATCGACCCATCGATCTATTTAAAGTAGTATAATTCATTGGAATATCGTGGCGTCTTACATATTAAGCGTCTGCAGCTTAATAATCAAAATTTCTATGACGATTTGAATTGTTTCAATTGAACTAAATGATAGGCGGGGTGAAGTTGCCGCAACGAAGGTCAACAAGCAAGTCTTCAATTATAGAATAATTTTGTGCCTCCCTTGTGTTGCGATGTGGCAGTTTTCAATGAAGTAATTGTAACAAAATTGTTTGGTTAATCAATGCTCTTGACAAGCCCTTGTAGTTCAATATATCTCGATATGAAAGACTTAAATTAAATAGAATATTTTTTTTTAAATTTGTAGATAATTCTATTGTGTCGTAGGTATATGATTATTGGAACGAAGTTCCTTATGTGACGATGTGGAGGGGTACCCTAACCGGGAAAAACGTCCGTAACGTAAGGTTTTTATTATTTATTTATAGTTTTAGTATGATAGCTATACAGTGTCTAATGTATAGTCTACGTGATGACGGTTATTATTATTATTCATATAAATAGCTGTTTCTTTGTATATTTTTTTTTTTTTTTTTAAAAATCAGTGTGAATAAAATAAAGTTGATAACTTTGTAAAGTAGTTTTTTTATTATCAATAAAAAAATCATAATAAAAAATGTATTTCCGAATAATTATTTTCTTTATACCTCGAATAGAACTTAAAATTAATATTTTTATAATAAGGAACGTCGTTCCTATCCGGTGTCCCACGACACCACACATCTTTTTTATTATCTATGCTTAAACTTTAGAATAATGTTTTTATACAAATCGAGACCTCGATTTCATTGAATCACTAAATCCTAAAATAATCCTAATCCTACAAGTGTTCTAATCCGACCTGCGGCTCACGAGAAAACAAAAACTCTGAAAGTTAATGATTAAAAAAATGGACTTGTGTATTCGAATTAGAGAAACAAAAAAACACTTCGTTACTTACTGTCACAAAAGTTACTGACATGTCTAAATAGCCTAAGTACCTACGAAGATAAATTTAAGTACGACAATGCATATTTGCACATTTACTAATTACCACATTAGGTTTACAATAACGTACATAATAAGTCGCGAACGAATAATTTCAAATTTTCAACAAAATATATCTCAGTGATAAATATACTAAAAACTACTAAAACTAAGGACAATTTCTATTGCTGTTTCGTAATTTTCAGTAACAGCAATTAATTGTGTTACAACAATTAGTCGACAACAAGTTATAACAATATTACAAATATACATTGTCACATTCTTATTCTTTTAATAAGTTTACAGTAAGTCATTAGCAGTTAAGATCAGAAGTCTTCCAAGTTCAGAAGTCTTCCAAACAATATCTCTCGTACAGCAGTAATTAAAACAAATGCAACGCAAAAAATACATTGTAGATCTTATCGAGTGTACAGAACCTGAATTTTTAGTCTTATCGTGACCACAGTAATTGCAATTTGGTTAAACTACAGAAATAAAAATAGCATTAGACTCGTTATTTTGTTACCACATTATTGGTGGGTACGGTGCTAGTGCGTTTTGTGGTTTTACTTACCACATTTCTGCCTATTTCGACACAGTTATCATAATTTCCACTACAAAGTTTAGGATAACTTATTTAAGTTCCAGTGGCTGTTCAACCTTTTGTTAAGTATTTTAGAGTGCTTCGGTATAAGCCTAAGAACACTCCCATAGACACGGTCCACTGAGTTTCTCGCCGGATCTTCTCAGTGGGTCGCGTTTCCGATGCAGTGGTAGATTCTGCGAAGCACTACTCTTGCTAGGGCCAGCGTTAGCAACACTTCCGGTTTGAGCCCCGTGAGCTCACCTACACAACTAGGAGAAGCTGAAATAGTCTCTCAAGGCTATCAGCATAGGTGGGAGAGAAAAAAAAGGACACTTTTGGTTATTAATATCTCTCCGTCTACCATCCATGCTATTTCTTCTTAATTACTAATTGACATTTCTCTTGCCATCTTAAATAGGAAGTCATGAATTCTATTCTAGGATACGACAATACCCCTTGCTTTGAACGACAAATAGACATTTATCCTATGTTAATTAGTAATCAATTCGGAAACAACTAATTTAAAGAAAGCACTTGTCATAAGTAAAACAGAAGCAAGACCCCCATAGACATAACCCACTAAGTTTCTCGCCAGATCTTCTCAGTGGGTCGCATTTCTAATTCTCTCAAGTTGAACCCGAGAGCTCACCTACCGCTCCGAGAGTAGTTGGAATAGCCCCTAAGGCTACCGGCGATTAGTTAGGAAAAATGAGAGAGACCAAATATCAGGGTTACGTCCTCAATGTATATTTGGAAACAATATTCAATCTGTCTCAATTTCGGGAGAGAAATCAGAGCAATACTAAATACCCATTTTGACTTTTTGATATTAGCATTTTCCGTTCGAGCTGTAAATGCTCGTGTTCATTGTGTAGTCCAAAAGGAGAGAGAACTAAGCATGTAATTTTTAAATGCTTTAAAGTGTTTGTTGACATCCACATTTTTATTGCCTAGATGAGCGAAGGAGCTCATGATCGACTTAGTAACCGGAGCCATTGACATCGCAACGTGGTTCCCGCTTCCCGCCTAAATGTCCTTTTATTAAAACGGTATGACAGCTTCGTGACGAAAAAAGACAGGATTGTGACGCTCCTCTCATGCAGAGTTACATTACGCCTGACCATCACGAAAAGCTGACTGGCGATCACAATACGCTCCTATATTACCCAAAGAATGCTGCTACACGTCAAGGTGCTTTTAGGTACCTCAAGCACCGGTCATCGTCCTCGTCGAACCCGTCGCTTGCGACGAAGGGCTCGACGAGTAAATTAACCCACAGACACAGCCCGCTGAGTTTCTCGCCGGATCTTCTCAGTGGGTCGCGTTTCCAACCCGGTGGTAGATTCTGCGAAGCACGACTCTTGCTAGGGTTCGTGTTAGCAACGTCGTCAGTTTGAGTCCCGTGAGCTCACCTACTAGTTAAGGTTACGCTGAAATAGCCTCTCAAGGCTATCAGCTTAGGTAGCAAGAAAAAAGCTACACGTCATCCGGCGAATCTCATAGTCGCTTTTTACGACACCACGGAAAGAGATTGGGTGGTACTATTTAAGATTTACACCTCACAGCCAACGAACTTAACTGAATGACTGTCAATAAAGACAAGTTTTTTTAATTAGCTGAATTACTTTATGAACCAATAGAAGATTCTCACAATCTTGATGCACAATAACGTATTCAATCGCCAAAACGGTTCTTCCAAATTTTGGTAAATTACGTTATAAAATTGTCTTTTTTTTTTGATAACACGATGTTATTATGTTTACTTCGATAATGATAAACACGAACCGCGCGACCGGTTTTGTCGACATTCTGTTACGCTAGTGTATTCGTTTCTCGTCCCGCTCACACAAATACAGTTGAAATGAAAACAAAAGAGACGAACATATCATTATCATGTTTCGTCGCAGTTTGCTGATGTTTTCAGATTAGGGCTACAAAAACTTTAGAATATAAATGACTATTTTGCATTGACGTCTTGCGTTTAAAATACAGGAATATAAAATGTGTGTAGTATTTACGTTTCGTTCGCTTAGCACACTGAAGACAATGTCACGGCTTGTATTCTTATATGACCTTCACACCGAATAGAATCTAAATGTAATTACTATTCGTTTATTTATGATATTTTAATGAGTGTTCATAAATTGGAAAGAGCCAACCGACCTTCAAACATAAAACTAAGTGTCAATTAAAAACATAACTCACCCGGTCCATAAAATCTCTTGCCTCTAGTAACATCAAATATAATTCCATTCACAGCCAAAAGAACTCTTCCGTCAGGCTGAGTTCCGTCGTATTTCTTCAACTCGGCAACAGTTAGGTCTTTCCTCAACTTTGGCAACGGCGGCGGCGGCGGAGGCACGTTAGCTTCAGATTCGAAATTCGACTTAATGATTTTGTAGATAAGGTACACTATAACTCCGATAAGGACTAGATTGAGGGGGCTAGTTAATTCGTCCCATACTGTGGGGCTATTAGTTTCGTCCGCCATTTTGTATACGTGTTGCGTGCGCGAGCGCGTGGCCTGTACTGATTTATGATTCACAATTCACATGATTCAATTCAGTTGTTTTGTGTCATAGAATGTAAGTTGTGTCGGAGCCACTGAGATGTGTACGCGTAATCTACCATTTAACACTATGCTATTGTAGTTAATGTAAAACCTCTATTCTTTATAATGTAAGGTCATCGCAGACGCCGACACTCATTGTGACTACTGACTAAGTAGTTTTTTATGTTCTTTCTTAATAACTACTGTTTTAGAATTGAATGTACTTTGTCCCGGTGATAAGGTAGAACGTATTACAAAAATAGTAGGTACAAGATTTTACTCTATAAAATTGTAACTTCACGTGATACTAATATAGTTTCTGCTTACAAAAAAAAACGCAGTTTGTGAATTTATTTTGTGGCCGTAAATACGTCCACTAACATAGAAAAAATTAAAAAGCTGTTATCATTAATATTATTATTATTATTATATAAATATTACGAGTGTTTGATCTAAAAATTAACAAAGAAACACGTTTAAAGCCGCTAATTTTTGCTTATTAATGACTAATTAATTTATTAATTATCCTCCATTTGGAGCTACCTCAATCGACATCTGAGCTCTCCATTCAAACGAGTACCAGACCACTTAATAAATATCGATCAATGTTATTTTTAAATCTCCACCGAATTAAAATCGAAATACTTCGCATTATCAGATTTAGTTAATTGGATGCGACACTTCAATTAACTCGACTCACTGTAGCGTTGCGTTTTCTTTGGTTTTCACCTAAATTTAGCTTGGGGTGTCTCTTTTGTTGCACTTAGGAGTTTTCAGTTGGATAATATCTGTGTGCTTAGTACTGCTTAGTGCGAGTTTTTTAACGTTCTCGATAGCGTAAAAGTTAGCTCATATTTGTATGGAGTGGGATCGTTTGCGTACGTTTGCCGCTAGGGGCACTGTTTCAACTGCATACAAAATTGGCTTAACTTTTACGCTATCGAGAACGTTAAGAAACTCGCACTAAACATACAGATTTGTATGAAGTTCGAGCGTTTGCCTACGTTTGCTGCTAGGAGCGCTATTCCAACTGCATACAAATTCGAGTTAACTTTTACACTACCGACAACGTTAAACAACTCACACTAAGCACACTGCATTACTTAAGATCCTTAAAAAAAAGCCGAATAAAATACTACAAGAACCTTTTTAGTATTTTATTAGAACTCGTATTCTTACTCGTCGAACTCTTTAGCGAGTTCGTTTACCGGAGTTCTATTTCTGCCGTGAAGCACTCATAGCTTCTGTTTGGAAACACGGACTGGCGACGCAAAAAACCGCAGTCTAAGCATTTATTGCCCCCGCTCGCCAGTCACTCCACAAAATCTTAAAGAACAATGCGCTTAGTGCGAGTTTTTTAACGTTCCCGATAGCGTAAAAGTTTATCCAAATTTGTATGGAGTTGGGACGTTTGCGTACGTTTGCCGCTAGGGGCGCTGTTCCAACTTCATACAAATTCGAGTTACTTTTTACGCTATCGAGATCGTTAACTTGCAGTAAGCACACAGACGAGTGCACGCAGTCACTCCGCAACCACGGCCGTAAGCACACGGTGCCAAACGCCTAAGTTAAAACGTCCTAAAATCACCTCCCTCAAATTAGACTTGTAACTTTTGTAAGCCGCATTGCTATAAATAAATATATGCCACATCCTAAACATACTTTATCACACAACTTACAACGCCTTCTAATCTAAAATATAGGTGGCATTTACTTTGTATTCTCCAAGGAATATACTTGCATCACAAAGGAAATTGTAAGCTGTCTGTTCATTAATATTAATTAAATTTCAATTCAATTCTAAATTCTGTTTCAATAAAATGGGTGTGTAAGTAATTTTATGTGTTATTTTTGTTGTCAAAATGATAGTATATATGATAGGTATATCAGTGGGACTATTTTATAAGCCTACGAGGGTAAATACCGTTACCCTGGCTATTTATGGCAAAGCAGCCACAATCTTCGGTTTGAAAGGTAGGGCAATTTTTATCTAAATTCATCTTCAAGTCTTGAGATAAGTCGTAGAATACATCCTGAGATGCACATAAGTAAATTGTCCACAAATAGCAAAAAATGACTATGAATAGAGAAATAATTCATATGACGTCTTCACAGTCGTATAATTTGAATAAAAAATTCGAAAAACAAAACATTTCCATCACGTCATTCCATTTATTCATGAAATAATAGCTAATATTCTTATTATCGCAGGGCTGTAACAATAATGTTAATATAATTTAATGATATTGTAAAACATATTTACAGGAGTAATGGTTACTCTAGTCTGAAAACTAAGCCGAAGCATTGATTGGTGGTAAAAGGCCGGGCATCTCTACAGGGATATTGCCAGTAAAAACAACTTTTTTTACGATGTTGGTATTTTATCATGGATTTTATTAAACATTAGTTTACAGTATAATTCCATAATTAAATAATAATAAAAAATGCACGTATACAATGGCATAACTACAAGTTGAATATTTCGAACATTTCATGAATATTTTTCTATCATAAACTAAGGATTATAGAAATATGAAACTATGGTATATATTATTTGAAAGTACCGGATTTACAAGTGATATGAAAAAGGAAATGAAACTATGCAGTTAGATGCAAGCAAATCGTAGGCAAGCGTATTTCTTTATTAATTGAACGAGCGAAGTGCTCTTCAATGTTAGACTGTTATAAAATCTACATGGCGGAAAATTCATTGCTGTAATAAGCATTGGATAAACCACTTAAATTAATTTTTTTGGTAACTTAAAATCAGTTTTTCATACATACATTATACAAATTGGATCTGTTATCGTATAAAAAATTATATTTATGTTAGAATAAAATGAACGGCTTAACAAGTATAAACACTCTGTCAGAACCGAATTAATGTACTGAAAAAGACAGCAAAAGGTTTGCACCCTTTAAATTTTATACCGTTTCAAATCATTTCCACGTTCCGACTTTATTCTAGCTTTTTTTTATTTTATTTTTTGCCCTTGTAGGCAGACGAGCATACGGCCTGTCTGATGGTGAATGGTTACCGTCGCCCATGGACTTCAGCAATGCCAGGGGCAGAGCCAAGCCGCTGCCTACCGCTAAGTACTCTCCACAAGCCTCGTTGGAAGAAGGATATGTCATAGCGCGCGGGAAAGACTGTGGAGGGGAGCTCATTCCAAAGCCGGATGGTACGTGGCAAAAAAGATATCTGGGAACGCACTGTGGATAAGCGCAGTAGCTCCAAATCAAATCAAATCAAAAAAGTTTTATTCAACATAAATGAAAGTACATACTTGTTGAACGTCAAAAGAACTACCGCCAATTCACAAGAATTAGCCTCCGTCCTGAGAAGAATTGGCAAGAAACTCAGCGGGCATGTCTTTTTTTTTAATATTAGTTTTTTTTTTAATATCAGAAGTTTTTAAATATTCATTTTTACAATAAGTAATTATAACATAACAATTATTACAATATTGAAATGCCCGGAGCGAGCAACTCATTCCCACTTTGTGCAATCTTCTAGATAATCATTGACTTTATATTATGTATGCATGGTAGTATGGATGAACTCTATGATGAGGGTAAAAACGTGATGATGGTAAAAGCTGGAGTGTTTCACAGCTAGTCACAGCCAATATTAAACTAGTATTAATAAATGCCAAAAATACCGTATCCAAATTTCATAGCTCAATGTCCCGCAACATTTATCGACCGGCTCTCGTCGAGTCCGGCCGGTCTCAAATCGTTCATGTTGTTATATTGATAGCATGAAACCATCGACATACAGACACTCGACTACTGCGTATAACTGTTACCGTATATACTATACCAGTATTGAATCCGATTGATTGTGGAATTGATACTTCACAGATGATTGCGATGCGGCGTAGTGGGAAAAAATCGTAGACGTGGATGAGTTTATATCCAAATCGGTATGGGTTTTATTGAATTTTGGACAGGTTAGACTAGATATTAGAACACAAACTGGGACTTTTTGGCGGGAACGCGAGGAGTGAAGTTGTGTGATTTGTTTTATTTTGTCTATTTAGTGTTTCATCGGGTTTAAATGTGTAATAATGGTGGTTTATTAACTGTTTAATATCTGTGAAAGTGCACAAATGTGGGAAAATGAAACAAAGCCGCTGGACGTAACTTCTCGGGATCCTCCAAAAAGTCCACTGAAAAAATCTTAGTAAATGACCACCATTTTACTGAGATTATATTTCATCCCATATCATCTCATTTCATTTCATTTCATTTCATCCCAGTTGAAATTAATCAATCATCTTCTTTTCATTTCACTCCATAATATCATTTTTCATAAAAATATGAATATAAATTAAAATAAGATATGACTTAAAGGTCTCAGTTACCAGGTCATAAAATCCCTTAAAAAAAAAGAACACAAACTTGTGAGCTTGAAGTTACAATTGTTGATCAATTATTATTATTGTTTTATTGTTCTGTAGTCCAAAAATATAATACTATAAAAGTGAACTAATTCCATTTTTTTGGATCTAGATTTTGATATTACTGCAGAGGTTTATGAAGTATGCTCATACTCACCTGATATTCAGTGGCTACCGGAGCTCATAGATATCTTGGGAAGTCTTTCATAACGGTCGTCCTGCCTTTAAAATCATGTAGGTTGCGTTCTGACAGAAATAGACAGGTTAATAATCCTATCTACGAGTATACACAAGTACCACCAGTGATTACACAAATTTTAAAACTTTGCGGGTTTGATTTTTATTAAACGATGCTATTGCTTCGTAGTGAAAATATTTCGCGAACATGTTATTGAATACGTATTTTATAAAAATTCGTACTTGCCGGTAGAGTTTGCATGCAGACCGGTATTTTCATATTTTTTTTATTGCTTACGTGAATGGACGAGCTCACGGCCCACCTGGTGTTAAGTGGTTACCGGAGCTCATAGATATCTAAAACGTAAATGTCGCCACCCACCTTGAAATATGACTTCTAAGGTCT